GACCCTGAGCTTGCCTGCCCATGATGTAAGCCTTTCAGCTACCAGACTTTTGGCTAACCTGCCTTGCTCCACCTCTTGACTGACCTACGCTGTCTACTCTCCTGCGCTGCCTACTCTCTGGACCGCTACTCAACAATTCTGCCTTTCGGACTGTACTCAATCCTGGACTGCTTTATTTTATTTTGACCACAGCTTCACCTAGACACAACTTTTCAGGCTCTTCTTGTTCCTGACTTGATGCAGGAAGAGGAAACTGAGGGAAAATAGCTGAAGTAGAAGTTGGCCTGAGGAAAATGGAGACTGAGACAAGGAGGAGCTAACAAGAGAGGTAGATCAGAACTTAATTTCAGATATTAATATGATTCAACCTGCTAATTCCTTAGCTTCAAACTTTTAAAAGAGATCTTGAATATTCTCTTAACACAAGAGTGATAGAAGAAACAGACAACCAAATATAAACATATTATAAGCAATGTGAGCCAGCAACTTGAAGCAGGAATTTGGCCTGAATGATTTTGAAAGTACATACCGGTACTTGTGGTCATTTCTGGATGCATTTACTGTTAATATAAACATAAGCTGTATCTTTAGCAATAGAGAGTCAACGTCCAAAGTTTTTTCTTTGTCACAGAAGGATGAGTCTAAGAGCTATAAAAAGCCAATTCTAATCAAGATGTACATGTCCAAAGTAAAAGATGTCAGTGTAGAAGGAAAGCTGAAAGGAACTCTTAAAGAAGTGGAAGATCGAACCTAAAAATAACCCCCCCAGGTCAATTTGCATATCGCATTAATCAACTTTTGTATAACCTCATGCAAACAAATGTCTAAACTCAATTGGTTAAACTGGACAAGCATCTCTGATTCAAGTCTTGCTTATGCTAATAACTTACCATTGGTCCGTGTGGATTTCTACTTAATTTACAGTGCAATCCTATCCATTTCTACTCAAAAGTACATCCTATTGATACAATCCTATATCCACTTATCTGGTGGTAAGCCAAACTCAGTGAGACTTGTTTGAGTAGACATGAGTAGCATTGTGCTGTTAGTCTTCAGTGGCATTGCAGAGAATCTACTAAAAACATCTGGAAGTAGATGGAATGGCTCATAAATTTTAGCTACTCTTGGCAGGGCAGGATTGAAAGCAAGGCAAGAAGGTCCCTATCTAGGATGAGCATGTGTCCCAGAATTTTGCAGAGCATTCCTGAGCATACTTTGCAGATTGTTTTTACTGGAAAAGCCACATTTTAAATACACAAAGGAAATGAAAAACTCTTCAGTTCATCTAGGGAACAAATACGCCATAGTGGTAGCCAAGCTCATGCTTTACATTAGGCCTAGTTGTGCCTCTTGAATTCTGCCATCACAGGAGGCAGCCTAGTTCCACACTTCAGTCTCCTGCGGCGTCACTTCACAAAGTTTCTAGCAGCAAATATTACACCTACTGTTGATGTGATGGCCTGCCCACAGTGCAAGCTCCTTCAGCCCCCAAATGACAAAATATTGATTGTATTCTTTTCTGCTACAACAGGTTAATAGTACTGAGACACAAGCAGAACAAAGAAGGATATGCCTCTGATAGTCACCATCGCCTCAACTAAATACTACCAGTAGTTAGTTTGTTGTTATTTAGCTACACAGAAGTCACCAGTGCTGGTAATTAATCCCTGTTGGACTGAGAAACCATCAAACAGGATGGTTTAGTCTAGCTAAATTCCCATCTTTAAGCAAATGGAAACAATCTCTGCATGTGGGGAAAAACCACTCGTCAGAAATTCATAGGTTAAGCAAGTTTATTTGGTACATCTGAAAGATATAACTCTATTGATAAATGTCTTCGCTAGCAAGACAGTGAATCAATAGGGCTTCAGGATATGGAGTAGTCATGAGGAAAGACCTCAGTCCCGTCATATGCCTCAAGAATTACCTCTTCATAACCTTGCTGAACCTAGCTGGTCAGATGATAAATGCAAACAGGATCAGGAGCCATCGCTTCTGCCAATAAACTTCATGTGAGCAAACAGCGAGTTGGAAAATACAGCAAACACAACTTCCCTTCCCCTTCCCTTCCGTGTGCTGGACTCTTCCCAAAGTCAACCCTCACCAAAGGCGTTCCTGTAACATCACCTCAGCGATTCCCTGAAGAGCAATTAAACCGTCCCCAGCTGCCAGCTGTGCTGCCGATCAAACTAACGACCATGGACAAAGACAAGGAGGCGAGACAAATTTGGATCTTCCATTCCTGCCCCAGGCAGGGTGAACACCTTTTTGCCAAAACGACGGAAGGCACCAGGGCCATGAAAGTGACCATAGAACAGACAGTTGGATGGTGAATTCCCTAGGGTTCCTCTGTTTCCTTCCTCTGTGATTATCAGAAGCAAGCCTGTGAGAGGAGCTTTAGCAAAGCCACATAATAGTGTCTTAACTGGTCCGCCTCAGGGGACTTCAGTGAACCTCTGACCTGAAGGCTGTAGGGCAGGTGTCACTCTGGTGTGAAAAAAGAGTCTTCCTCCCTTCCTCCCAATAGGGGTCTACTGTTGACAACAGCCGGTAGAGACACAACAGACTCACATGCTGCTACAGATCATTCATTACATTAATAGTTGAAACAATAATTTTCCATGCATTTCCATTTTGGTTTTGCAATCTGACGGGGGAGAGATTTTCATCAGACAGTTAACAAATGAAATAAATATATTTCCCCCATGTCTGGAACACAAATTGCAATGCAGACTGTGCGATACAAAAGCACAGTCTAAACTTTAGGCAACTGCAGTCCTTGAGTCAGCCCATAGGGCACAACTTGGGGATTGCTTCAAGCAATGCCTTAAAAATAAAAAATAAAAAATCCATCTGCCTTGAGAGACAATGGAGTGCACCTCTAGGGGTGAAGTCAGTCTGCTGGAGAATCACAGCTCCTGCTGTGGCTGCAGAGACTGGGAACTTGGGAGCAAGGGAATTGTGCCATTCTTGAGTTTGTCTAGCTAAGATTGGAAACACTCCCAAATCCAGCTGAGCCCTACTCAGAGCTCATTTATGCTTCTTCCAAGACCTGTGTGTCTAGCCCATTCTCTACCTTGTCTGCATTTACATGTTTGACCTACCACAGGGAATGCACAATCCCCTATAAGCTTAATAAAAGAACCTTTGGGGATTTTTCTGAATTCCTTTCCAGTATCAAAGACTTAGTCAAATAATAGACAAAATTTTAATGCAGATGTCAGAAGTACATAGAAAATGGTGGGTTCCCCTTCCACTGCCCATTAACAAAAACAAACGGGAAACTCCCCAAGGCTACTTTGGTTCACCTTGAACCACAATATATTGGCACAGCCAGTTTGCAATGTGGTAGTTCGTCTCAGAGGGTTCGTCTCAACTAAGTTTTACTCAGAGTAGATCCACAGAAATTAATTACTAAGTCAGGTCTATTATTTTAAATGGGTCCAACATGAGTAAAACTTAGCTGAATATACCCAGCATAATTTCCTCCAGCTTACTGGGTGGAATTCAACATCATGCTATTGCAAACATTGTACCTGCACATGCACACCAGCTTGCCAAATGGAACAATCCATCCCCCCCCCGCATGCTGTTAAAGGGGTTCTCCCAACCCCTGCAGAGCCAGCTGTCGGGGGCATAGGTGCAAGCGGGGGAAGGAGAGGGGGTAATTCTCATTGTACATTTGGAAGCCTTTATGCAGGCCTTCTGCTGAAGAAGTTTGTTATGTGGATCCCAGCCACTGTATCTAAACATGTCTATCCTTAGTTTTTAAAAGATTTTGGAGTGCATTTTGTTAGAGCTAAACTGAAATGAATGTGTGTGTTGAGAAGAGAGGTGAACATTTTTCTCCCCCATTTCAGAATTCTTTGGGGGGGGGGGAGGTCTCCACACAAGGGTGAAAATGCTTGCAGAATGGTTCCCTACTCAGTACACATTCCACACAATGGCAATGTGTTATGCCCTCACACTGAACTGACTTTGCAACTTCATCACTTAGCTAAATGTGAATGTTCTTTCTGGCTACATTATCCCAAAGAAATGGAAATTCAGTGAAATGATGTTATGATGCTGCACAGCCAAATCTGATGGTGTTGTCCTGGGGCTAATTCAGAGTGAGGGCATAAAGCACTGCCTTTGCTCTGAACTGACCTTGTGATATTGCCACATAGACAAACCTGATTGTATACATGGCGCCATTGTCCTGGCCATGTAATCCTACAATGGTCAGAAAAATAATGGCAATGAAAATGCTGCTGATCAGACCTGCAAACAAGTTTTGAAAAGCTATGAAGATAGTTATCAGCAGGACTTTCTAGAGAATATTTTCACAGCAAAGCTTTGGTGCAGTACTATATGAATGTTTGCACTCTGCACTACATGCACATAGATAGGATATGACGTTAGTTTCCTGTACGTCCTAAAGCAAATCAGTCTGACATCAGCACTGAAGCTGTAGCACATCTAGCACATCAGGCTTCGAAGGGACAAGCATCTTGTTATTCCTGGAGGCTCTCTAAGAAGTTACTTTGCTTCCAATTTAGTACCAAAGTGCTGACCCTCCAGCAGGTAACAGTTGGTGCAAAGCTTCCAGAAAGTATCATACTTCCCTCACCATTCTCTGTCACAATTGTAGAATAGGTCTGCTCACCAATACCACTAATTATGGTCACATACATTCCATATGTACAAACTGAAATAAAAGCACTCCAACCTAACCCAGCTGAACACAATACACAAAGCTAGTGAAACACAAGGAAACTATTCACATCAAAAGGAATGCACATTCCAGACTTTCTTTCCTGCCACTCCATAAAGGCTCAGGGCCAATTTCATGTGCCCCAAATCCAGTCCTTAGGAGCACAATGAATCAAATGCATTGCACAGATAGTCTCGTAGCACAGACCAGTTTTCAGATTCAGCATATTATTAGCCACACAATACAGTCAGCCTGATCTCATTCCATAATGTTTTGTAAGCCAGTACGTTCAATGAATTCCTACCTGGTGCTGCCTGGATCTCTGACACTCCACCAGCGATGATAAGAGCCTCAATAATCTTCACATGGTGCTCTGGATTCAGTTCCATGCTAGGAAAACAAGGACAAAGAACTTAGTACAATGTTAGTCATGGCTTCTGCTTGCTCAGTTTGCCTGCAATAGAAGAGGGAATCAGACACTGAGACCAGAGAAATCCAAACCCATAATCCACCATGCTGCAAGCAGTTTGGATGAGGTGGAGGTGTTTACCTGCCCAGACCTGCCAGTGATGAGTACCCCAATGCACCCACCCAGGCCACTGCCAGGAATAGTGAGCAGAACCAAAAGAACCAGGGTGCTTAGGGGAAAAGGTGAAACTGAGCAGGCACTGAGATCACGGGATGGAAACAGGATCATGTGACTACAATGGACTTGATCCAGACCTCTTCACCGAGGCAGGTTGGCAGATGACCAAGTGAAGAGGCTACTTTTCCTGCCTTCACCTTCTACCCTGGCTGGCATGAGCAGTGGGGCTGTGGATTTGATGGTGGCTATGTTGTTCCATTAAGCCCCACTGCTGAAGGGCAGAGGTTTGGAATGATCCCTTGGACATGCCAATCCAAAAATCTCTGCAACCTGGGTCCCTGCATTGCACAAGCTTCATGGGAAACAAAGATTTATGGTCTACGAGTGCTGCTCCCAACTTCAGTGCCTGGTTTAAAAGTTACTTGAATAGCTGCCACAGTTTTAGGCTTGCCTTCATTACATTATGATTCCTTATTGATTTACATTTCTTCCTTTGTCTTTGTTTATATGTATGTATTTATTTACTACACTGATATGCCATCTTTCTGCCAAATATTCAAGGCAGCAGTTATATGTATGATGGTCCACTGAAAGCCATTGTCCAAAGCCCTTTGTCTTGGAGTCTTGGAAACTTCTCCAACAGAAATATAATTGGCTTCAACTTGGGGCATTTCGGAAATTCAGGTGCAATTGGAACTCTTCTTGCTAGTGGGCAGGAACCAAATCTTATTTTTAACATCTTAGTTTTAAAATTGAGTTCCAGATTAGTCACGTGAGGGATGAGGAGGAGCAAATGAAGATGCTTCTGGCAAATAGTCCAGCAGTTTCACCTTGATGGGGATGGTTTAAAAAGCACGTCACTAAAGGCCTCTCCAAGCATCCTGGGTGTGAAGTGATTCTTGCTGCCATTCTGGCACAGTTTACAGAAATGCCTGGTCAGGTGTTGCAGGAGGAGTCTGTGCCATTGAGGGAGACGTGGAGATTCTAGGATCAATTTTATCTGTTGACCACACTCCTCTGGGCTCTGAGTTTCTGCAGAAGAAAGACAGGAGAAAAGGAGATAGCTTTTATATACAGGTAAAAATTCAAGACAGGTAACTTCTGTCTTCACTCACAATCTCAACTCTCTATTCTTGTCTCCATATTGCACACAGGTTTTGCTTCCACAGCTCCCCGCTGGCATTTTCCTGGAGAAACCTCTAGAATGCAGAGTCCATCTTGGCCGAACAGCATCTGGCTAGTTTATTTCAGGTTTGGGAGGCACCTTGCTCATTGTTGACGTCTGCCATGGGCCAGTTTTATAGAGTTCCAGTTTAATTTGCACACATATATATTGGGAAAAGTGCTATCAGACAGTGGGTAGGATCATGAGTTTGCTACAGCTGGCATTGCTTGAGTATAAATATACCGTACTCAGGATACATCTGCTGGTGGAAAGGTAGTGGTGAGGAAAGCAATTCCCCTTCCTCCTGCAGCCCCCAATACCCCCCATCTTGTTTTGGAATGCCCCCCCAGCCCACCAGAGCAGATTTTTAGGGGGCATAGATGGCTGCAGGGGAAGGGAGGATTGATGAAAATTTGCCTCCTCTCCCATTCTGCCAGTTGGAGCCCTTCAAGTAGTGGGAAGCCAAGTGCCAATCCAACCCAATATATACACACACTTAAAACCCAGTAGGTTGTGAGGCCGCTACATGTCCTGACCCTCTGCCTTCTGGTGTGGCAGTCATGAGCACTCAAGTTTCAGGTGCGACAGTGGCTCAGCAAAAGTCAGCCAGGGGGTAGGGGGGTAGATTATATCATTAATTCTCATACGTCAAGGGTGATTGGAGTACATACATCCTAACTTTTTCACTCCTATTATCATCTGAAAAGCTGCCCTAGTGCACACACTTCTTGTGTTGATGTACTTAGTAGTGCGTGCTAATATACAAGGAGTGCATATTTTGCACTCCTGTGGTATTTCCCTTTGGGAAACATCAAACCTGAAGGAAAAACAAACAAGAAAACAAACCAAGTCCTACCTCTCAAAATCAGGAAATGGCCTTAGAAACTGAAAGCTGATTGCATTCTTTTTATGGCTTTCTGTTTGGTTTAGGAATATCCAGCACATATAGCTACCATTATGTTTTCAAGATTACGTGCACAAACCTACAGATTAGAAATTCTGCCAACCGATTTATGTATTTTGCTTACCAATCAATATTTTATTGGTAGATACTGTTGCAAAGAGCAGATACATACTACTCTTTTAGTCATTGATCAGTTTGTGATATAGCCTTTGGTGGATTTCCACACATATGAGCTAGTTAATCTAAATACGTGTCGTTTGTTTTGGCCTTACAAGATTCCTAGATATCCTTTTAGTAGTTTCTATCTTGCCGGAGCAGCAGTTGGCTCCTCCATCCAGTTGCCCTGTTGTAATCATGGGAACAGCCAAATGAAATAGCAGACGGAAGTCTCTTCTCCTGGGACCCACAGACGCGACAAAGTCTAGAGACAACGATATGGGGAAACATCCAAGTTTGTCCCTGGAGTGGAACAGATGGCACTTCTTTGGTCTTCCCTGGGAACTTCTAAACAGACCTTGCAAGGTTTTAGGATGCAAATACAGTGATACCTCAGGTTAAGTACTTAATTCATTCTGGAGGTCCGTTCTTAACCTGAAATTATTCTTAACCTGAAGCACCACTTTAGCTAATGGGGCCTCCTGCTGCTGCCGCGCCACCGGAACACGATTTCTGTTCTCATCCTGAAGCAAAGTTCTTAACCCGAGGTACTATTTCCGGGTTAGCGGAGTCTGTAACCTGAAGCGTATGTAACCTGAAGCGTATGTAACCTGATGGTACCACTGTATGTAAAAGGATGGGTGACAGACAGGACAACCAGAATCTTCTCATATGGCCTCAGGTAATTGGATCTATAGAATAAACTAAAGTGGCTTTTAAATTCCATCAACACAGACTTTTTAAAAACTGTTTTGCTCTGAGAGCAATGGCCTCTGTGAACTGTAACGGTTCTTTTTTACAGTTGTTACTTCTTGGTATTAATCTATAATGTAGTACTACATCTTGTTCTCTCTTTTGCACACACTATTTCTCTCTCACACACATACACCTGGCTATTTGTGTAATGACCAAAATGTCATTCTTGATCTAAAGCAGGCACAGCCACCTCCTGTGTCCTGGGGGTGGAGTGCTGTCATTCCATCCAGTGGCCCAGGACTAGGAATCCTACTTTGCTGCACAACATGACCCTTTGCTAGTGCTAGTGGTTCTATAATAAAAGACATGCCAGCTAGCAGGGGGAAAACCCAACTTTTATGGCGTTATGGAGCCCAGATGCACAGGCACGATGAGGATAATATTATATACAAAACCCAAAGAGATGTAAAAGTGAAATGAGAAACATCTGTATCTCACAACATCGTAAACATATGCATTTTCCTTACAAGCAAAACGATGGGCGAAATATTTATCGCAAGCTTGATTAAAATTTGCTGAGGCTGCTAGGGGCCAGATACAGTTGCTTAGCAAGCTGGATCTAGTCCCTGCACTGCCAGCTGGCCACTCCTGCTTTAAAGCGTTGAAGATCAGCTTTTTCCTTGGCAACCTCTGTCATCTTGAACAAGTCACAAGTTGTAGCTCTCATCCTATCCTGCCTTGCAAGGTGTGTGAAGAAGAAGAGGAGGGGTTTGGATTTGATATCCCACTTTATCACTACCCAAAGGAGTCTCAAAGCAGCTGACAATCTTCTTTCCCTTCCTCCCCCACAACAAACACTCTGTGAGGTGAGTGGGGCTGAGAGACTTCAGAGAAGTGTGACTAGCCCAAGGTCACCCAGCAGCTGCATATGGAGGAGCGGAGATGCGAACCCGGTTCACCAGATTACAAGTCTACCGCTCTTAACCACTACACCACACTGGCTCTCCATAGAACCTCTCATAGAATCATAGAGATGGAAGGGGCCATGAGGGTCATCTAAGCCAACACCCTGCAGTGCGGGAATCCTCTCCTCCCCAACATGCGGCCTGAATCCACAACTCTAGAAATAACACACCAGATATTGTGGTAAGCATTTGATCAGAGAAGAGAAATGGTCCTGGAGACATAAAATTCATCTCTTTTTGTGAGATTATCTATTTGCTCAGTGGACTTGGCATACCGTGTGTCCAAGAACATAATATTAAACACAGAAATAAGTCCCACTAATTTCAATGGGACTTCCTCCCTGTTCAAGATTCCAGCCCAAAGCTTCTAGTCTGACTACTAATGTGGATGGTTATTGAGAACGACACCACTTTTGAGATAGGAAACTCTTTCTTTCTATGGGGTCTCTTCAGATGGGCCTTGGCACAAATTTGTCAAATTTCTTCCAGCCCTCTGAATGTAGCCTGTATGCTACTCTCATTAGGTTGCTGGCACCTGTTCCTTTAAAAAAAAAAAAAGAGCTGATCTTGAGAAAGTTTACTCAGCAACCACTGGCTCTACCACATCTGCAACATGAACGGCTGATGATAATAATTAGCGAGCAGGATTTGATGGTGTGGTGCTGCAGCTCGTTAACGAGGCTGCTGGGATGTGAAATGGGCTGGGCTATGCATCACTAATGAGGCAGTGGGGAAAGACTTCTGACCCAAGGGCCCATCAAACAAGACTGTTGGGAGAGGGTGGGAGGCAGCAGAACTACAGGAAACAGAGCTGCAATTAAGAGCAGGCAGACAAAGAGAGAATCAAATCAAAGACGAATGTGGTTAGGGGCTGGGGAGTGCACTGGCTCCAGCCTCAGAAAATCTGGGTTATTATAGCTCCCTAAATGCCTATGGGGGAGGATGAAGGGTATATCTGCAATGTGATGTGGGGAAGGCTTGGAACCATATTGGGGACCAACAAAGGACCCCCTTCCTCCCCCAACAGCTTAGCTCTTTGCTAATAAAATGGTAGCCACTGCCAATCTTGGATGTCACATCTTTTCTCAGCTTAAATTAAAAGGCAGATATGCAAACTTCCCTTGAACCAGCATATCCGTACTAGAGCGTTTGTACAAAACGATTCAATGTGTAATAAATTGAAGCTGCATTGTCTTCTCCATGTACACTTTTTTCTCTTTGTAGCATAAATCACTCTTATTGTTCATGTGGTGGTATGCCAAGGTACAGGTTTGTTATGCTTTTGAGCCAGCAAAAAGATGTGCATGATGCTTCCCTCTGGTGGATATGAACAGAGTTGCTCCAATACGTGTCACTGCCCTTCAGCTTCTGGTATGACAAACAATAACTCAAGGTGCTACCAGTAGTGAATGTAGAGCCTGCCTGGACTTCTATATAGGAGTCTTTAACACTTCAGCTAAACTTACTGACTTAGCAGAACTCCTTCCAACAGCTCATCTCAGTAGCAGCAAATTAGCCAACCCCTAGCTGAAGACGGCACTAGAAACTTAACATGACTTAGTCAAGAAAGTCAAATCCTGTCGCACTGCCCTCAGGTTGGTGACACCACAGAAGGTGAAGTGTTGCCATAACCTTTGCATGGCCTAACACTTTGCATGGAAACTCGGTGCCCACCATTTTGATGCAGGCTGCATTACGAATCTTTTAAGTGTCCTGTGCTCCTGTGAGGAATTTCCCAAATTACTCGACAGGCTGCCCAGATTGGCATCAGGTTCTATGCTTCCTGGAATTTCCAACCCAAATGTGAACCAGCTTGTTACCATGCAGGAGAATCTTGCCCTGGCAGAGATGCATAATAACATTCATGCTTTCCATTGCTCTGACGGACTTTTCACAAGCCCAGCCTTATGTAGTCTTATAAGATATTGCTTGGCTACTGTCCAGCGAGTGGGGGGTGGGAACCAAGAAGATCCTTTTGCTCAATCCTGAAGGATTTTCTGTGCTAAAATCCTTTATGCCTTTGTGCCTGTGTGGCTCAGATTTCAAATTCAGATTGGTTAAGCCTCCTTTCTGATGCTTGCTTGAGGAAAACGTTCCTGTTCCTCATTTTTTTACTTGGGATAATGCACATTTGCCATGGAACTTG